GAGCTGCGGGCTGCCAGGGCGAGGCGGCGGCGTCTTGCAACCCCCTCGGCTGGGCCCCGGGGTAATTCGATGCGGGCCTGGCGAGGCTCCCCACGCTAGACCCGGGCTCGCGTCTCGGCAGCCTCCACCCACCGGCCCACCCTACATTTAGCGCATCATGTGATCCGGGTAAGTCATTTGCAAGTACAACAGTTCCCTGGGTTGCCCCCCATTCATTTCCTGAGAACTGCAGAGAGCAGCTGAGAGGCTCTGCTTGTGCGTGTGCGTGTGAGTGAGTGTGTGCGCGCGCGTGTGTGTGAGAGAGAAAGGGCGAGAGAGAGCGCGAGAGACTGACTCTGTGTAAGGGAAAGAAAACAATTTCTCCTGCTCTGCAGCTTCTGTTCAGGTCTGTGCCGATTCCGTTTCTTATCAAAATAAACAACCCCCTCCTTTTTTTGCCATCCCCAATCAGGCCGTATTCTCTTAACGTGTTTTATTTTCCTTCTGTCATCTGCTCAAGTTAAATCATTCGGTTGGTCTGTGCTCTTAAAGGGGGAAAGTGTTGGGGAGCGGGAGGGGGCCTGGGAAGGGCGATGCTATTGCAAAGCAAGTAGCGTCGGTCGGATTCGTGGAGAAGAAAGAGGGAGGTTACTTCCCCTGCTCCCCTAAAATTTTTTTTTTTTTTTAAGAACTTAACAAGTAACGTGAATTAAGCAAATGTTTTTCTACCCCTGATGGGATTGTTGCTTGCAGTGTTTGCCTGACAGTTGCCAAGGATGAGAAATAAAACCTCAGGGCTGGGTGGGGGTGGGGTGGGGGTCGTGGAAGTAGTTGGCCCCAGGAACGGGGCGGTGGGATGGATACTGTCGCACCGGGCCCTGTGGGCTGTGTGCGCGCTGCCGAGCGGAGGGGAAGGGGTTAAGGCGGAGATGACACTGCTGGCATGAAGAGTGGTCCTGGTGCTACATTCATTATTGTCTCTCGTCTGTAATGATGTGTAACTGTCAGTTGCTACGGTGCTTGGTCCACGGAGGTAGCCCGGGGCTGGCCGGTGGCTGTTATTTTCAATTACGAGGGACCTGGCCGGAGTTGACAGGGGGCAACTTTGCACGTCCACTCGGGCCGGGAAGCCCGCGGAGCCAGCCCGAGAGCCACTTCGTGCCTCTGAAGCTCGCTCCGAGGGCTCGGACTTGACCTCCGCGACGTTAGTTGGTGTTTTCGTTAGATGCTCCCCTACGGGGAGAATCAATCCTGCTTTTGTTGGGTAGAGAACTGCCTACTGGAACTTTGAAAACTTTTATCTTTGGGGAGAAGGGTGGGGTGCACTCAACAGTTTTGTTTCACAGTGCTTTGGAGGCAAATGCCTGGAAAAAGTACCAATTCCTTTGTTATAAGCCCTGCTACTTCCCCACCCCCTTCGCCCTGCTCTTCGAGTTTTGCATACTTTAATAGTAATAACCTTAATTCAGCTGATACGAGCTGACTGTTGAGTTAGAGTATTAGTACAGCGGAATGTGTAATCTGGATAAACAGTCTGTGTGGGTAGTATTGTCAGGTCTCTAATTTAACTGTACAGATGGCCCAAGTATCCTTCTGTATGGATTGTTTTAAATAATTCCGCTGGCTGATAGAATTCTCCGCCGAGCACACAGGTATTTTAATTCAGGTTTAATAATCTGCTTGCCTGTTACACCAAGCAGCGCTATTTACATTTAGTGCGTGTGCATCTAGTTGCTTCAGTAGACATCTGCCAATCACGTACACGTCATTCTGCAAATCCACCTAGGTGGCTCCATGCCCTTTTTTTAGTGGAGGATACAGTTTAGCTAAGTAAATGCACTGAAATAAATTTGGTGGCTTTTAGCAAGCAGCAGCTTGTGATGGGAATAGGAGTGGCCGCTTTGAAGAGTGAGAGGGGACCATCTTCTAAGAAATGCTTTTAGAATTGGCATTTAATTACAGCAGCGGAACCCTCTGCTCCCAGAGGACAGAAAACCTGGTTGTGCCTTGGACAGACCTCCTTCGCATGTTGTTTACATTTTTTAAAAACTCAGAAATTGATAACATTAACAGGGTGTGCATACTGTTGTGGTAAAAAAAAAATTGACTGTAGTTTATCTTTGTAGAAATAAAATGTTGAAGGGCAGACATTTCAGTTGCGTAAGATACATCTTTATCGCTGCAGCCTGGTCAGTCTTGATACTTGGGTTGAGTACATTAAACTCTGAGTTGAGGAGGGAGCAATTTGGGCATACAAGAATTGCAGAAATTTGTAATATATTTAGGAAGGACATAATTCTACCGATTCATAACTGTTATGAAATGTACTTAGAGTGGTAAACCTGAGATGTTTTCGCATAAAAATTTCACAGCTTATGCACTAAAACTGTAATTACCATAGCCATGTCAGGTTAAACAAAATAGTTCTGAAGAATTTATTTTTGAAATCCGTCAGTTACTGTTCTCCTTGCTACTTAGTAGGGCACATTTGAAAGAAACTTCCGTCAGCTGAACTTTATTGGGGGAATGCTTTTTATTAGGTTTATTAAATGAAAATTATTGTGCTAATGAGCTCTTAGCAGTCCCCTCTGTCCAAGTTCCTTTTCAAGAAATGAATGTCATTTAGGAGGAAGTGGTCCTGGTGTAGGGTTGGAGACCTTGACCTTAGCAACTCTTGGCTGGTGGTTGTTTACTGCCGCTGCAGCTTTGCGTGCTCCAAAAGGGAAGGCAGAGCAAACTCCCTTCTCCCTCCGTCTCCCGGGCCCAGAGGAGAATGAATCTGGGTACTTGGTGTTCAGTTCACAGAGTGTGCATCAGACCTAGAGTATCCAGAGTGTTCCGGTCCTGTAAAAATATGTATGTTGGTCAGGGATTTCTTCTGGCCTCCTGAGAAAAGGAACAACATGCATTTTCACAGCTTTAGAGTGAATTACAGGTATTATATTGTGGAGCGGAGTGTTATCAACTTAATAAAATAATATGATCTAAAACGCAGGCATGTTTCATCTCAGGAAAGACAAGTGAAGTTTTTAGGCCTTTAGGCTTGTACTGAGGGCATTTTGAATTGGAAATGTTGATTAATGTATGGTTTTGAGTAACTTTACCCGGTGAGATAAAATTGATAAACAATGGAACATATCCAGGTTCTGGGCATTTTCTCCCTTACACAAAATGAAAAACATGGAATTTCCTATTTATACAAATTAAGTGACATTAGGATAATTACATTAAGTTGTGATGTTAAGTGGCTTGTTTTCTTTGTATTTCAAGAGAAGCAATCTTAAATGTCAAGTTTATAATGTAACTGCAGTTTGCGTGTTAATAAAAAATAGTTGTACAAAACTGTAATGGCACAAACTCATTTAAAATCTCAAGAACTTTTCTCTTTTTTTGGATGCATGTTTACCCACTTGTGCTTGCATGTTGATTAGTAAATGCACCTGAGCTAGAAATCCCAAAGCAGTTTTAATTCAAAATTGATACTATTGTATTTTTTGTTCAGGAAGTAACTTTCATTTTTATAAATTCTGAAATGGGTTATAGTTGCTTATCTGTGTGCATTTTGAAAATACCATATGATAGTAGCTTAGAAATGACTATATTTTTGCTGTTTGCCTATTTTCCTCTTCTAACTCTGATTTAAAAAAAATTTCAGCCTACAAGTTATGCACAGCTTTCAGCTTTAAATGTGTACAAAATGTAAGAGTAAAAATATTAAAATTAAGTCACTGGCAACACCCTTCTATAACTACAGCCTTAACTCATCCACCACAACCACTCCTCCCAGAAGCAAAATGGGAGTAAACAGATGGGCCTTGCCCTATGCCCAGAAGGTCAGCTGCCTTCAGCTCAATCAGTCCTGCTTGGTTACTAGATCCCAAACTGCTCCTGCCGGAGAGCTGCCTCACTGCCACTGGCCAGAATTCATTTTCAAGGCCTACGCGGGCCACACCCCATCTGATGTCAGCTACTGAGTTCCTCTGGTGGAGAACACATGCTGTGGATTAAATGGTTACTTTCTCTATATATTCTCAGTAATTATGTTACAAAAGGATTTTTCGGTGTTGGGTGTTTATTGTCATAATGTGGCTACTTGAGTAATCATATTGCTCCATAAAAATTTGTTTTGGCTTGGCCCTAGATGACAGGGTATTCACCCAAAGCAGTCTGCTCTGGTATGGTCTTTTTTCTACCTTAAAGCCATATTTTCCTTCTATTGCTGATCTCATGGTCTATATTTTGGTGTATTTATTAATGTAGGTAATTGGCCTGGTCCAAATAGCATTGTTTAGGTACGAGAGAGAGTAGCAGAAAACCCTTGTGATTGTCTTGCTCCATAGAGATTGAGAGAGAAAAAAATCAGAAAGCTTTGGAATAGTTTTCTCACCTTCAGCTTGAAAGGCTGTAGAAGCTACCATGGTTACTACCTGCAGGCTTTGATAGCCAGGAATTGTATGGCAAGGGAAAGTATTCACCATGTTTTTCAGTTTATATAGCTTTTCACAGTAATTTTTGTCATGATGTGTATCTATGTGCTGTGTTTGCCTACACATTTATTATTTGTACATATATAGCATTTACATTTGTGCATGTGTCTTTACATTCTCCGTTATAGCCGCCCTGCATCATACACATCATGACCAACAATTATAGTATGAAAAGGAGAAACACCAAGTTTGTATTTTTTCACATTCTATGTTTAGTAACACAGTACTTTTCTTACTTTGAGATTAACAAGCTATATTGTGACAAAATGTAAAAACCATGCTACCTCAAAAAACAAAACAAAAAAAACCCCACCAAATGCAACCAAGATAAATTGTAAAAAAATGAAATAAAAATAACTAAAGAAAACCTTTGTTAATTTCATAATCAGCTTCTAGAATCAGAGCTCATCTCAGTGGCAGAATGTCTGAGTCGGCCTCTCTTGCTTGTGAACTCTGGGTGACCTTGGTCAAATTTCCTAACTGTGGTGAGGGTTAAATGAAGTCATGAGGGTAAAAGCCACTTTGTACTGTAAAGTACTAGTGCAGCATCTGATTCCAGAGGAAAACTACTCTGGCCTCCCCTCACGCCCCCAACCTTGTATCTCCCACCCCACCAAAAGGGATGGACTTTCTAGCGTCTCAGAGTGAGCATATAAATTACATTTATGGAGGAGGAATTTCCGTGTGGGTAGAAATCTGCTGGCAGTCAAAAGTCATGAATTCCATTCCTGTCTGCACCAGAGGTTTGCACTGTGACCTTGAGAAAGTCACTCTTAAAAGGTTTCTATGTAGCTGGTGTGAAAGTTACTGATGATTAACATTTATATAATATGGATGAAGTTTCTCAGCTTTTCAAAAGAAAAAAAGTACAGAAAATGCAGTTAGTATGATCATTCAGAGAAAATTGAAAGTAAGGTTA